GAACCATTTGAGTATTTCAATACTACTCCCTCAACCTCTAAGTTGGCAGTGATAATTAGAAGTGGTTTCATTAGGTCTCGCTATTTGTTATGGTTTGAAGGGGGACTTCCAAAAGGAGCCCCTAATTGGTCAGTTGGAGCGCCAGCTACCGCTTTAGATTCGCGTAACATGTCGAAAAGAGAAAAAAATATCTATCAAATGAGCCTAATGGAAAGATGCACTGCCATTTAAAAAATTCAATTGTTTTTCGTTACTAATTTGTTTTCTGAAATAAAAACAACTGAATGCTGCCTTATTATAGAAAATAAAATGTTAAGCAACTTTCATATATAATAATTTTGTCTACATTTGATATTTACCGAGATACCTATATACTATATTCCATACATAATGGGCGGCACCCTGTATTTAATATAATGTAATATAATATAATATAATATAATTTGTTTCAAATGCTTATTCAACTAACGCGCGTAACTTATTACAGGCTAAAATCGCTTAGTTGGTTCTGGGAAAAAAATAATAACATTCGACAAACTAATTAAGTACCAATGTAAAAATACTGAAAAACAGAAATAATTCACTTTTTTCCAAAAACTCAGTTTCAATCTACCTTACGTATACGTTAAAAGCACGCCTTTTTCTAACCCCCCAGATTGGGTGCGCTATTGCAGGATAAGGGCTTTTTTTAAAATTGAATAGTCAAAGATCCGTTCTTTCTCTTCGTGAAGTTGGAGGTACCAACTGAAAATTTTGAATATCTCCCTTATACGGCTTGATTACAAAATTTGCATCATACGGCCAAAATTGGCACAAAATGATCACAAAATTATTGCGTGTCTATGGCTTTATGTGGCACCTCCAACTTTACGGGCCTCCATCCTTATATCTTTATATGTGTTGGGGTTGTATTGTATCTAGGAGAATTAAAAAACGAAACGCAAATAAATTGCGGAACATTTTGAGGATTGATTCCCTATACAGAATTGATTCCCACAAGTATTTGGCCCAGAGGGAACTTCCCCCCTCTTCAGCCGAGCATGTCCAGATTCCTAACGTCGAAATTGTTCGTATCGCGGATCCGCGAACGCGAAGAAGGGAATTTAAGGGTTTCTGCTTATTGTTGTAAAGGATTTCTACGATAAGAGATGTTTTGTACAGTTTTCGTTCACATTTTCAATTCTGGCGAGTTTGTGTAAATCACTTCTCTTGATTAGAGCGGCTCTATTCAATAAAATGAGGATAAACTGTCTGTTACAATTATTATAAAGTTCAAAGGGTGAAAAATTCAAGTGGAAACCGGGAAAAATTGTCTAGCAAACTTTAAAATTAATCGACTACTTCTCTCAAGCGGAATTGGTTGTCAAAACTTTTCATCGCACTTTATAATACAACAATGCTTCAGAAATATTCAATACAGTATCCGACGATTGTTAGATTTTCTCATATTGAATGAAACATTAATAAGAAACAAAAGGATGCTCTGAAAACTTCAAAGAATTCATAAGTTGTAGCTTCAACCCTTTAAATATTTTCATTTTTCCCAGCTCATAATCATTACCGGCAATTATTTATTAGGTATGTAATTGGTGATACATTGTTTAACTAATTCAGCAATATTTCGTATCCCAATAGCACCAGTAAGGCGTCGGTCTGTAGACACTATGGGGCGCCGCCGCCGGTTCAAAGTCAACCATAAAATCCTCTTTAAACCTACTCGCTAATTCGGGATAACCAACCGGTCCCGTAGCTGGTAAGTACCCAGGTCGTTGGGCGTAAACAATTAAAATTACGCACAGCATAAAAAATGTCTAAAAATTTCGTGTTAGTTGATATGAATTATTGTATAGTAAGTATACTTACCGAGGCTAACTTCATTTTAGAACTGAAATTATGTCACTAATTCGTAAATTGAGTCTATTTATTAATGAAAATTTAATATTCATGGGCTAAATTTGGAAATTTATCGCGGTTTAATTATTGTGGGAGGATTTCTGACCGAGATCGATCTACTGAAATAATCACGATGTTTCCAATTGTAAAAACGTGTTACCCACCAGTTTAATTACTATGGTAATTAACTCATACTAGTAAATAAGAAGTTTGCAGCGCATTCTTTCCGTAGTCCTTTCATCAAATCGACGTGAAACCGGGCTAAAAGTTTGCCTTCCTTAGTAAAAAAAAATTGATCTCGGGGATCTAGGAGTTAGTTTCCATGGGAAATCGTACTTAACTGGAAGTTCCAAAGGCGACTCGACAACAACTCATTTTTGATCGCCCGTACATAAAAGTCAAGAAAATGACATATTACTGGCAAGGAAATGTTGAAATACGAGTCCCTTTTGGGGCCGAGTACTTCAATTTTCGAGTCAAGTAGTGTTCTTTTACTGACGAGTTTTTTATTAAATTTTACCCAAAATTGTATTTTAATATAAAATTTCAATTTTCATGTAGAACTTTTGATTAATGTTAATCTGTCAGTGATAACATTACCAATCTGGCAGGTGCGGCCGGTAAAGTGACTGGCGGCAAGAAGGTCCTGGAAACTAAAATGTTCTGACATAAAGTAGGCATGTAAATAAAGGTTTCATAAAATAAAATCATATAAATAAATAAATAATCAATCGATTTGGCTTTATTGAAAGGTGTTACTGTTAAAATTTCATTGGTCGGTACATAAATAAGAAAGTTAAAGGTAAAAGTAATATGAAAAATTCAACAGAAATTCTGCATCGGCCGGGAATCGAATTCAGGCCGCCCTCGTATCAGCTACGACGACTATAGCATTTTAATTTGAATAGATATGGATTAAGTGATCACTTTTAGGGCAAAGGTAGATGAGGTCAAACAAATCCTTGTGCATTCTAATGAGATTTGTCAATCTTATTAAAAATGGGACGTAAGCAAAAAATAAAATGAAGTTCAGAACATAATACAATATTGTTTCCTTAGAAATGACGAGAGAACCTATGTTTCTATTTCGTACGTCTAAATTACATACCTACAGAGTTTTCAGAAGTTTTATAATGATTTCTATGGCTTTCGCTATGAAATAAAATTTTATATTATACACGACAATAAAGGGAAGCTAACCATATTTCACTTGACGGTTAAAACACCCCTTTGTGGTCTTGTATAATAAATAACTATTAATGAAGTTGAACCAAAATAAAAGAGCTTTATTAGCGCCTTTTAAAGGATTATACGCGTAGATTCGTTATTATCAGGTCAGGTTTGAACAATTCCTACCTACGCATTCTCTAAATGGTCTCACTCGTTTCAATTACGTTCCCTAAGAATGACGGGTAAATTTGATAATTATGTTTAATGAAGTTGAGCATAACTGAAATTTAATAGCCCTTTTTAAGGGATGCTATACGTGTAGATTTACCATTAATCAGAACATTTGAACAATTCTCACCTCAATATAAATATCCACTAAACGTTCTCGCTCGTCCCCATTACGTTTCCCCAAGAAGAGCGGATAAATTTGAAAATTATCTTTAATGAATTTGAGTTTAAATGAAAGAAGTTTATTGACGCCTTTTAGAGAATCCCCTCCTATGCTGAACTTCAAAATTGCAAAGCGGTCACTCGTTACAGTATGCAGTTGGAGTCCCCCATCATATCAGGAGATTAGGGGTTGAGTCTTTTACGTGGTTTATTTTGAACTCTAAGCATACAATTGTGATTCCTTGTTTTCTAAAATATATAGTTATTTACATAAAAGTCAGGAAAATGACACATTCCTGGCGAGGAAATATTGAAGTACGAGGTCCCTGTGGGGTTGAGGTAATTTTATTTTACTGACGAGTTTTGTACTAAATTTTAGGATTCAGGAAATTTTGGGTAAAAGATATTTGATATCATATTACAGTGAGGAGATGAGTTTTTTTACTGCAACTACAAATACAAATTAAAATATTATATGTGTATCTTTGTAGTGAATGAACGAATGCGATGCCAAAGCGAGTTTTCCTGCAATTTCATTATCCGAAGCGGTTGCGTTGTTTACGGGTAACTGTACACCCTCTAAACCTAAAGTCTATACGTAGTCAATTAAACAGGTACATACTAGTTTTGTAAAACGTAATTTTAATGAATAACCATTATGATTTAAAGTCTAGTTTTAATCTATGGAGCTATTTAAAGGTGAATGTGTTTGCAATTCATCAAACAAACAGAAGAGTTCAAGGTATAAGCCCAGCGAATAGCTAGCTCAGGTTTTGATTATTTCAATTCTTGTCCATTTATGAAGTTGATGACGTCATTAATTTTATAATTTATAACAGTTAAAGTCATTTGTTACAGTAAATCCCAAAGAGTAGATTGTAATTAGGGGTAATAAAATATTTGTTTTATGGGGTTTTAACAATTTTATGGGGCTATTGTAATGGGTAGTCTATAATGGCCAATGAGCAACCCTGTATAACAATATGCTTGCTTGTACAACCTACAAACATAAGTAATTCAAGAAATAAAAACATTTAGTGTATCACAAAAGTTGCAACCCTCACAGTTTCGATCTAAAGGTGGATTTTGGAAGCCTCCTTCGAGACCAAAATTTTGATATTGGTTTTTTCGTTCTTCTAACTGAAGATGTTGCATATATTCAAATCTGATTCAGTTACCGTTTTTACGGGAATTTTTCGAAATAAATACCCATTAGGTACGTGATGATTTGTGCGTCCGTTTGTCCGTCTGTTCCTTGAGAACGAAAAGAGACAGCGATGTCAAACCTGCGCCTATCGATTTCTGCGAGTTCAAGGATCAGTGCTAGTGCATATGAGCCGCATTAACTCATGTTTCCGGAATGCGATAGATTTGTTTAGCACAAACATGTGTAGGCAATTACAAAGCAATTATCGTGTTCCCAAAATGATTGAAAAGAGACCGATCGGTATGGAAAAGCAATCATTATCCGTTTCTCTTCAATTTAACAAGTGATTCACTAATCAAAACAAGAATATTTGTTGTTCCGATTTTAATTGATCCTTAATTTAATTCAAAACTCATTGGGAAAAGTAGAAAAACCCACCGAAATTCGTAGGAATTACCGATACACTTTGGTTTAGTAATTTACTCCCATTCAGTATAAATGAATATTTGATGTGTTACAATCATTAGATGTGAACAAGCCATCATAATGGTAAGTAAGTTTCCTCTATACAGATCAATAGTTTTATTAATAAATTTGTAGAGGACTACAGTACTTCTTTTGCTTCTGCTTAGTGTTGTAATTGCACAACGTCCGGGATATCTAGGCGGACTTCCCGCAGGTTATCCAGCCCTAGCTAGTCGATTTAAAGAAGAAAATTCCTCACCGGATCCAACTTCGTCTGCACCAATATCCCCTACACCAGCACCAGTATCGAATCCACCAGCGCCTCCCTCTGATGTAAAATTCTATTATAAACCAACAAACGTTCATTATCCTCATTGGTATCCTACAAAATACCATTACAAGGACGTAGAATATAATGATCAATTTATTTTCGATTAACCTATCTTTGTGTGTGTGTGTATTAATTAAAGAGTAAGTAAACGGCTTTGCTAGTCATTTTAGTAGAAACAAAGTGGTAATTGCTCAAGGTATTGATTAACAAATTTCCCGGCTAAAAACTTTATGTTTTGACATCAAAGCGTTAGATTTAGACATTTTATTACTCTGGGGGAAACTTCACGCTTAGAAAACTTTATTTTGCCGCGCAAATCTAATTAATCAAAAGAAAAACGTCTGATGGACTGCTACATAAATACCTATTTACCTGAGTGGCAGTATTTTTCCCGGTCTTTATCTGAGCGTAAAATAGTAATTTAAGGATATGCATGGCAAATGTCTCATCAATGCTGTATGCATTTAGCTTGGTCATTTCCGTCTCATTTTCTTCTGTGATACTGTATTATTGATCCTCATTTCTAATGGCAAGATAAATGCTATTTTTCCTGTAGTTGGTTTAAGCGGATTTTTTGATTTTACAATACTATTGTCATTGCAAAATTGCAAAATGTAATACTATGCACTTTTCAAAATAGTATCGTACTATTAATGAATTGGGAAATGTAATTTAATTTGGTTGTACACCTCTTAGTACATACTGATTGAATAATCACCCAATAATTAAGCAACACTTGGACACAAGGACACAAGAAACAATAGGAATAGTATCTATTGAGGATTTGCAACATACAACAGCCATGTATGGATACTTGACGAGATTTGCAGTAAAATAAAAACATTCGCTGCTGCATATATGCCAATAAGTATCTATTGATTTCAGTTTACATAATTTCCATTCAGAAGGGTATTTAGATAAACCGATCAGTTCTAGTTGGATGGATACATAACAATTTATACAGATAATTACGAAATATTCGCGACATAAAAAAATAATTAAAAAGCGTCTTTCACAAACATTGGCGTACTCGTGCAAATAGGTTTAATTTCATCCAGTAGGTATAGTCTTATTTTTACATGTGTTGTATTTTGTTTAAATTGATTAACTCAGCTCAGGGTAATTCAGCAAAGACAAGGGCATTTGTGACTTCTAGTAATGCATGTCCCGTTTGTACAGAATTCCATCGTATTTATAAATGTCCGAAATATCTTAGAAACGCCCTCGACAATGCATCATTTGACAAAGTAAAAATGCTGGTGGGCCTTCGCTATACCAATTAAATAATGATTCTCGCAAGACAAGACAAAAAATGACCCCTTCTTAGAGTCTTGTCTTGTTTCTTACATCTTCTTTCAAATTTATTTCTACCACTTCTTGTCTTGTTTCTTGCCTTTTCTTGCAAATTGTTGCAAGAACTTGGTCACTTCTTATTTTGTCTTGTCTTATTTTGCAAATTTCTTGCAAGTCTTGCGGTGTGTGACTGTTTGGTATAGGAACTTTTACTCATATTAGTAATGAAAGCCAAGCAACCCGTTTGCCACTAATTTAGCTAATCATTTTTTATTTAAAGTAATACTTCACAAATATTTTGCAAAATTTTACGATAGAATTGCAAAAAGTCAAAAATTCTAAATTTCTTTTTAATATTTTGTTAAAAAATGCTAAAAATTGTGAATAACACCATTGAATATTAAATTCAAACCCATAAATGTTGTGAGTTAGTTTGTGGAGAAGTTAAAATGTCAATCATTAATTTTGCAAAATATTACGCTAACCGAACGTGATCGCCCTGCCGTCTCTCACGTCACATTGGTAATGACTAATGTCTCCTGCCACAGCTCCTGCCATCACTTGTTGTTCTGCGGTCTTCATTGACATTGATATTAATGAAACGTTGTATATGAACATTTTATTTTTATTTTTTATTTTTAAGAGGGCGGGGTTTCTGCCAAGGCTGTTCCACCAACCCAACTCACTATACATTTACAAATATCCATATCCGAACCCGGATTCGAACCAAAGGCCCTTAGTACCGCATTCGTGCTTCCACGGCACTGCGCCACACAGGCCGAAATTTTATATTAAAAAGACGATTTAGGAAAAAATGTAAAACAAAACTTGCCAGTAAAGTGATATTACTTGACTCGGAAATTAAGAAGTGCAAGTAATGCAAGAAATTCCTGTCTTGCAGTGTGTTTTTTGTCTTGTCTTGCAAAACCATGCAAGAATAAAATCCACTTGCGCAAGACATGAGCCGGATTAAAAGTCATCTTTCCAAATGCGAACCGAGTGTCATAAAGTTCCCCTACTGGAAATCGCGTTGACTTTTCGTATCTTGTTCAATGATATTATTATATAACATTTGTTCGTGCTTCAGATCAAAAAAAGATGTTCACATTCAATATACCACTTCACAATTACTTTCAATAGATCACATAGAATTAAAGTAATGTTTAAGAAAACGCACGAGATTCAATCTATAAATTATAAATTATTACAGAATTTCTATTGTTTTCGTCCTTTATTATTAACGTGTGCGGAAAATTGTGACCTTATACTAGTTGTAAGTAGAATTTATAGTATTTTACATTATTAGCCAGGTAAGTGAGTTTTTACTGGCGATAGGAGAAGTTGACTAGCGAGCCGTTAGGCATTAATTTAATTAATTTAACATGTCAATCAAGTGCGTAGAAGTACAAGTCAAACAGGCCGTATTTTGTTCTGTCATTGAGATACTTTCAAAGAGTAATTTCGTTCGAATTTTTTCAAAATGTGATAATTTTAGGTATGCAATTTCTCTGGAAATGGCGGATGGTGGCAATTATTCATTTTAGAGAACTTGTCTAAACGTTTATTGAGCGAAATTTCGGGTTGTGTTTTCTAAAAGTGACAGCGTGACAGTTCTCATTATTGACTACTAGTTAATAATAAAAATTATTAACCACTTTGAACAAATGCCGAGAAAGCCTACTTTACAAGTGGAAAAAAGGTTAATAATCATGTCATCAGACGCTAGTAGTGAAAAAAATATCATGTTATGCATTTAACAGAGACTTCGCATTAATTCTGGCCAATGAAATTACTAGATTACTAACTTGTAAAATTTTTACAGGTCTGCTGTCAGTTTTACAAGTCTGCTGTCAGTTTTACAAGTCAGTAGCGTTTAAACATGACGTTTACCCGTTTGCGTTTTGTCTTGTTAATCAACGTTTACAACTGAGTAACAAATAATAGTACATTATATATCAAGGTAGAGAAGTACAGTATTATTGCCTGAGCACCAAGATTACATCTCGAGGCGCTTGCGCCGAGGGGGGTAAGGTGCGAAGGCAATAATAGACTTCTCTACCGTGGTATATATACTATTTTTTTCACTACTAGCACTTGAAATCCTCTAATTAACATATTATATTGATAAGAAAGTGAACGGTTGGACAGAATTTTTTGTTTCTTAATTTAACATGTCAATCAAGTACGTGGAAGTACAAGTCAAACAGGCCGTATTTTGTTCTGTCATTGAGATTTTTCAAAGAGTAATTTCGTTCGAATTTTTTCAAAATGTGATAATTTTAGGTATGTAATTTCTCTGGAAATTGCGAATGGTGGCAATTATTCGTTTTAGAGAACTTGTCTAAACGTTCATTGAGCGAAATTTCGGGTTGTGTTTTCTAAAAGTGACAGCGTGACAGTTCTCATTATTGACTACTAGTTAATAATAAAAAATTATTAACCACTTGGAACAAATGCCGAGAAAGCCTACTTTACAAGTGGAAAAAAGGTTAATAATCATGTCATCAGACGCTAGTAGTGAAAAATAGTACATTATATACCAAGGTAGAGAAGTCCACTATTATTGCCTGAGCACCAAGATTACATCTCGAGGCGCTTGCGCCAAGGGGTGTAAGGTGCGAAGGCAATAATAGACTTCTCTACCGTGGTATATATACTATTTTTTTCACTACTAGCACTTGAAATCCTCTACATTAACATATTATATTGATAAGAGAGTTAACGGTTGGACAGAATTGTTTGTTTCTTAATTTAACATGTCAGTCAAGTACGTGGAAGCACAAGTCAAACAGGCCGTATTTTGTTCTGTCATTGAGATTTTTCAAAGAGTAATTTCGTTCGAATTTTTCAAAATGTGATAATTTTAGGTATGTAATTTCTCTGGAAATTGCGAATGGTGGCAATTATTCGTTTTAGAGAACTTGTCTAAACGTTCATTGAGCGAAATTTCGGGTTGTGTTTTCTAAAAGTGACAGCGTGACAGTTCTCATTATTGACTACTAGTTAATAATAAAAAATTATTAACCACTTTGAACAAATGCCGAGAAAGGCTACTTTACAAGTGGAAAAAAGGTTAATAATCATGTCATCAGACGCTAGTAGTGAAAAAAATTATTTACCTTGTAGTAGGGTATTTTCGTACTCTTATTGGCTTGTACTCCAACACATCCAGTAAAGCGCTCGAACCATGTTTTACAAATTGTATGCGCAGTGTAGTTTTATCTTCAGCAGGTTCATTAAATTTGCCCATTTTCTTTGTTTACACGGAAGAGTAGGTAACAAATATTGTTGGTCACGTTTCGGTTATAGTAGCTTTAATTTATTATACAGGGCTTTCAGCGGAATTTTGATAAAGTGAATTAAAATGTGGCGGTTGTATAGAATACCTTAAAACTAACTAACTATATGTATGCGTTTACAACTATAATGTAACGTGTTAATGGCGTACAAAGTCTTTTGTCCATTGCATTATACCCGTACTTCAAGCACTTAGATATCTTCAGTGAAAATTTCTGGAAATATATTGTTACTCTTGGCAATTTATAGCAAACCGAGCCTTGTTCATAGAGCTATTGAGTGGAAACGTACGTTCTTAGAATTGAATGTTATTGTTATTACAGCAATACTAGCGAATGCGTTGTGTTGTAAAACTGAACATGAGTCCTTTAGAACATTAGAATTGTAATGTTCTGCTTAGGAAAACATCAGAACTGAGCAATTGGTGACTTTTCTGCAATTTTCGGGCATATCCCCTGAAAAATACCGTCGCACTTACATTGTTTTCATTTCTTTTATACGTAACATACATAAAACGCGAGAGGAGCAATAAGCTTTACTATAGTTAAACCGGATACACGTTC